CTTTGAACCTTTGTCAATAGAGTGGTATAACCACTTGCTGAAGTTCTCTAAAATATCCGGATCTACATTTTCACCAATAACAGTAGTAAAAGGGTGCTTTAGGTAGAAAATTTTAGGTCCAACCGAGCTGCTGCCCCCAGAACTGTATAGAGGGATAAATGGTGATCGGGCATGCTTTCCCGGGTGCCTCATTCTCCCCAGATGCATAGGTGTTGCATCATCTTGTATGGGCTCGCCAAACATAACCAACCGGGATAAGTTGTCAGGCAACTCAAATTCATATAGTGTGACCCCATTCTTCTCAACTCCTGATCCTTCTGAATCACCTAGATCCACATACTCTGCATCTGCACCTTCATTGTCATCTTCCTCGATGACCTGCTCGGTCTGAGCTGCTATTGTCACTCTGTGAATTGGGGACTGTGCATTGATATCTTCCATCACTGTAACACAATTCATATCTTACTTAACAAGAATGTTGAAATTTATAAACAACAAGAAAATATCTCTGAATGACAGTACGATACCTGCTTTGTCCTCATCAGCTGCAACTTGAAAATGTGTATATAAATCACCATGTATATAAATCACCATGTGATGGAAGATTTTCTTGACCAACTGCACCTTCAACATGTTCTATTTTATAATTAAAAATGGTAAATACTACTGGATAATGGTGGCTTGAAAGTTGTAGCATATAAACTATCAAAATTATAGATAATTTGTGGATAAGTGTAGATATGTTGTATATTCACTGACACAATTGTAGATACTTTGTAGGTATTTTGTAGATACCTGTTTTGGTGGTGCTGGCCTGCACTTGTTCCCCAATATTGAACTGAAAATGCTCATTTTTCAAGTCTTTTTGTTGGTCATTATTTTTTGTTGAACTGCCAGCAAACTGAATGTTTTATGTTAGTTTGTATAAATTTTAAAAATATATAAATTGTTTTGCTATAAAAATAAAAGTCAGATCTTACCTTTGCATCATCTTGCACATTTCTACTGTTTATCATTTGCAAAACAGTCTGCACAGAATCATTTATAAACACTTGAAGGCTATCGAGTTCTACAAAGACAGCTTTCCTAAAATCTTCAAGCTTTCCATCAACCTACAAGTTACAATACAGTAAGTTGTTAACTTCATAATTTGTCCTAACATACAATGCAAAAACATATGCAATTATATAAAGATATATATCAGAATTTACAAATTTGGAGATATTTGGTAGACAGTTTATGAAATGTAGATATATTGTTTATATGTATTACCTGCGCAATTCCTTTTTCTAATTTGCTGATCTTCTCAGCAATAGACTCCGTGTCCTCTTCTCCATCTGTTTGTTTGGGTTCCAATGTAGGAGGATCAGCATTGGGAAACTCAGATGTTTGTTCACCTTCTTGAACTTTGTACTCAATTTTGTCGGGCAAAATCCACACTGCAATCTCTTCTCCAGATTCAACTATGTTGGTAAACTTAATGAGGAAAAATAAACTAGTTTGATCAAGGTAGACAATGTAGAATAATTGTAGATAATTTGAAGGTAATTGTATAATCATAAAAAAGGAAACTTTACCTTTATCCACTCAGGCTTTATCATCTTCTCTTCAAAGGCAGCTAACCAAATCTGCCCCTCACTAGCTGACCATCTTAGTATGCGAGGTATTGAGTTAGAACACCTCGTAGCTAGATCAGTGCTAACGGTAGAGCAACACTCATAAATCCATACTTGCAATGCTAGTGAGCATCCCCGTATGAGATAAGAATGTACATACGGATTTAGTCTGTGCCTAACAGATTCCATCATCTGGCTGAAAGATTTAATACCCCATGGGTATGACTTATACTGCCCAGATTCTACCAAATAGAACCTAAAGTGATCTACAAAAGAAACATGATCTTTGTCCGAAGGACAAATGAAAAATTCTAAAAGATAAAGGATGCACAACTTCACCGCATCCTCATCGTTTACCCAGGATTTAGTGGTTACTATCTGTTTCAAATAAGACTTCTACACTCTTAATTTGTTAGGGAAATAACTGCTCATTATTTTGCTAACATAAGTGGGAGTATAACCAAAATCAGTAACCTGGGTAACACATCTTAGACCAGTAATTAATGCAAACTCACGCAATCCAAAATTTAATGTTTCACCCTTTAACTGTACAGAAAAATATGATGCATTGGATTTGGTCAATTCATACTTCATCAGAAGATGAATGGCTTGGTTTTGCATGCATATGGTGGGAAGAGACAGTAAGTATCCAAAACATGTCTTTTTGAAAAGATTCAGCCCATTTGAGGATTGAAGCTCTTTAATGTGGCTAGGAATGCTAGGATCACACAAAGTGTGGAATCTAAGCACCCCATAATCAACATTATGTGGGGCAAAGAACTGTCCATTCTGCATAAATAATAAATTAATTCACATTAATAAAATGCATAAAAAGGATAAATTCATCTACATTTTATCTACAACAAAACTACAAATAATTACATAATATCTACAATTTAAAGCATTTTCTACAATTCCGCTTTAAATAGTACAAGTTACCTAACAGTATAACTACAAAAAAAACTACAAAATATCTACAACTATAAAGGCAGAACATCACAACTACAAATAATCTTCAAAATTAAGACAATTAATCTACACTTGTCTAAAACACGTATAACACAGATTTTACAATCCTAAACCAAACTAAAAAATTAGAAAAGAAACTAATAAATGTCTACCTTCGCCAATGATTGGTTCCGAACAATTTTATGGTATTTTTTGGAATGTTTCTTCATTTTTAAATTTTTCGAACCAGCAGACACCTTTAATTTCTTTCCTGTTCGAAGATTAGGGACCTCTTCTACAAAGTCGTCGTCTACATAAATCTCTTTTCCTTTTCGTTTGACTTGTGTTGACTGGTGTAGAAGTTTCTCCAGCATCTACATCAAGTTTTTGTTTGGTTCTCATCTCGACTCTGATTTGTCGGGGAGAGGAACTATGAGTACTCTCTGCAATTGCATGTGGAGATTTGCCTTGCTTTTTGGGTGATTTTGGGGATAAAACACCCAAATCAAATGAGGGGATATCAGCTACTGCTGATTTTTTAGGACTCTTTTTGAAGCTTTGTTGTTCTTCATTGATGAACTTCAATTGGAGTAAAATGGGGAACCAATTTGTTTGAAGGGGTTCTTCAATTTTCTGTGAATTTAGAGGGAGATTGGGTGGTTTCAGAAGATGGAAAATGGTAAAAAGAACGTGGGTATGGGTAAAAAGAACGTGGGTACGGGGCTGAGGGGTTAGGAGAGAGAAAGTAAGTGATGAGTGGAGATACTGGAATTGAACGGAAATCCTTTAATTAAGGAGTAAAAAATATCTCATTAATTATACCCTTAATTAATTATGGTATAGAAATGGTAATTTGGTATACTAAGTGTAATTAAGTCACACCTTAAACATTGAGGATAAAAAGGTTTCCTATGTGGCATAGGAATGTAAAAATTCCATAATTAAATCTAAACTAAAGGTGAGAATGTGAATTAATGATTTTATGATAAGTATATACGCCAAGGCATGTATTAAATATTATTTGTGTTGGTGCAAACATCGGGTGTGAATACATTACGGTATGACTAAAAGATAAATCAATATTTAAAATTTTCATTAAAAAAAACTAATTCGATTTGCAAACAGTGTTATTAATTTCTAATACACATTTTCTTTCAGAAGCTTTTCTTTTGTTGTTCGATCAAACACCGAAACACAAATGGACCATAGCGATTTCGAGGATTAAAGGTTGACAAACTTATTCTTTGTCGATCCTTTGAGTTTTCAACTTAGCAAATTAGTCCTAAACATTGTACAGGATGTAACAACTCTAGTACCTCTTCATGATTTTTAACAAATTGCAGTTTCAGTACCTCGCATAAAAAATTATGCTTTAAATTTTCCACATTTATTACATCGTATACCCGAACTCTTCAGAACTCAGATCATCTCATTACGCTCTCTAAGTTCTCTAAAATGGTATACAATTTCTTCTTCCTTGTTTCATTCTTATCATAAGCTCAGTGAATTTATGAAATTTTTTAATATAATTTCGTTAACTTTTTTTTTTGGAAATTTCTTTGTTAAGGTTCAATCAGCAAAACCCATCTCAAGCCCAGTACCCATTACATGGTACCCAACCCTAGCTGTGTTCATGCTTGCAATTGGCCTTATTGTAACTGCTTCCTTCTTCATGTAAGCGCTTGATTTGATTTTAGTAATACTGTATTTTTTTTCCTTTGAGATATATAGAAATTTTATTTAGTGGATCTAATAGTTCGAGATTAAGGCGTAGTTGATTAATAGTATTCGTTTATGCTAGTAATTGAAGCGATTTGTGTCACTGTTGGTTGATTGCATTAACATTTGTGAGAAAAGGGGTTTTGAAGATGGTTGCATTTTGTGAATAAGGAAATTAAATAACATGAAATTGTTAATTTGACTCTGTTGCTTCTTTCTTAAATGGCTTTATTCAATATGATGTGTGGGCTTGCTCACATTGCCGGTCTCAAGCCCGGGTAAAGGAGGAGGGTTGCGGTAGGCTGCAGCCAACATAAAACCTGTCAGTTCGTGATGAATCCTCATAATGCAGTCTATTCAATATTGCTCACATTGGCGGTCTCAAATTGCTAATTCATGATAAATACTCATAATACAGATGTTGTTGCTCTATTCAATATGATGTATGATGTTTATTACTGATAAATATTGCCATTTATGTTGAAGAAATTATGCTTTAGTGGTTTGGTTGTATTAAAATAGCTTGAGATTAAGCACAATTGTTGTAGCTGTTTGTTGTTGGCTATGTTGTGCGAACTCTCCAAAATGCCACCACACTCGTGTTGGATCCTCCAAGAATCACTTCTTTTGGAGGATCCGATATGCATCAGGCGACATTTCCAGAGAGTCCGAGCAACATAAGTTGTTGGTTGCATTAAATTGATTAAACTGTGAAAATGATTACTCACACAGAGTATAATTCTACAATGTTAAAGAGTACCAGTCTGCTGTGTGACTGATTTTCCGGGCTCTACAAGTCATGTTGTGTTTTCATCTTGTGACAAATCTATGAATGTTTGACAGTTATGAAGCTACTTCTCCGAGGAAATATCGCAGTCTAGCGAAGGAGCTTACAACTGGAGCAGTGGCATCTGTTTTCTTGGTATGTGCACTATAATGATTTCATCTCTCGTTTTCAGTCTGGTTTTGTTGTTGATATTTGCTTGTTTCTATTCTTCCTCTCGAGCCGAGGGTTTGGAAATAGCCTCTCTACCTTCCCAAGGTAGGGGTAGAGCCTGCGTATATACTACCCTCCCCAGACCCCACTGGTGGGATTTCAGTGGGTTTGTTGTTGTTGTATCTCGTTTTCACACTGGTTGCTTGTGTTGACTCCTTTCCGCACCTCATGCAGGGTTTTGGATCCTTGTTTTTGCTACTTGCTTCAGGCGTATATGTTTGATCCATCACAACATGAAGTTTTGTACTGCTGTTTCTACATGAATGGTTTTGAGTATTGCAGTTGGTTTTATATGATTTATGATTGAAGATAGCATCTGTAGAACTGATTTGTAACTGAATGGCAAATTGGAGAACTTGTTGAAAAATTGACTGAGGTAAGCGTGATGCATTTTGAAACTTTCTATTGTTGGAGTTCAGTGCATATAACGTTAGTATTAAAGAGCTTGTTGAAGTGTATGGATGTAACAAACCATGATGATTTATAGAATTGTCTATAAACGCAACAACACGAAGCAGAAAATACTCTCTATGATGATTTATATGAGTGTTATCATCAATTACTTTGTAGAAGAGCAATTCGAGGTAATTTCGACAAGCAAGCAATAAATCCATGGATATAAATGATTGGAGTTAGAGAAGATAAGTAGAGATAAATTATCACAAAAATGTGTGATATGCATGGATGTGTATATATAGATACACCCACAATATAGTTAAGTTGTTATACCCATATACCCAAAAAAAAAAAAAAATTATAGTTAATCCTATATGCATTGAACTCAAACAATGGGGATGTTCATGCCCTTATATCAGAAAGCTTAATAGACCAATCGATAAACATAGTTATAATTCTCATGGCGATGTTTTTAAACAAACAGAAAAAAGACGAACATATATTTGATCTAATAAAGAAACCAATGGATACAAAAACTTTAAGTGATTGAAGTTTACTAGTATTTTTATACTTGGCAAATATTCCTGATTTCTAAGTACCTTTTTCCAATTACTGCAGCTAGCTAAGCTGCTCACGAACAACATAAGAGCAAACACTGGTACAAAACATTTTTTAATCTTTACTAAGTTGCTAGTGCGGGAGCGGAATCTTGGAGTAATGGTAAAGTTGTTTTTATGTGACCAAGTCACGAGTTCAGTCACTCGCGCTTGCGTAAAAGTAGGTTGTCTACATCATACCGCTTGGGGTATGGCGCTTTCCCTACCCTAAATAAACGCAGGATGCTTTGATGTCCTTTACTAAGTTGCTAGCACATTGAAAATAAATAAAAATTATGTTAACTTATCATATATCATGAAAATTGAAACTTAGTTATAAAATCTCAAGTCATGATTATGTTAGATGAAGAGGAATGGTAGAGAAGAGTACAAGGGATTTTGAAAGCAAGATTCACCAAATTATAGGAAAGGAGAAGTCCATCACAAACAAATTGAAAGCAAATATAAAATAAAAACTTTCTTTTTATTCATTCATCAAAACATACATGATATGTTTCTATTTCCTTTCTAATTACCTCTAAACAATTCCTCTAACGCTCTCAAATTCCCCTCAACAAAGACTATAACAAACATCTCATTCCAAATTTAAATAAAAAAAAAAAAAAAAGGCAGCCCGGTGCACTAAGCTCCCGCTATGCGCGGGGTCCGGGAAAGAGCCAGACCACAACAAATAAAAACAACAATCTTTTTCAGACATCAACACATTGATAGTGCTTAAGAAGCCTATTTGCTTCTCTAATTCCAGTAAGATGAGCACCATGAGTTGTTGAATAATAGCATCTATGTGTTGCTTCACCTGCAAACAAAATCTGAAGTGGAGGGCAATTCTTTGAATTTTCACCATTATTTCCCACTTTTGGCAATGGCTCAGCCATAGAATCCAAATCATCTCCACTTGATCCAACTGCAATATGAGTATATGAACCCAAAAACAATGGATCAGTACCCCATTTACACTTCAAAACATTAGAAAACTTAACACAACTCTCTGCTGTTGCAGAATCTGAGTTCTTGAAATTCTTTGAGTTTGCTAGAAACTGTGACATTGTTGTCGAAACCCCGTCTATGATCTCGTTATCATCTAGAGTTTCCATCTCAAGAGCTTCATTACCTGCAAACCATGATACTATAGTACTTGACTTGGGATAAATTGGATGTATAAGAGCTGTCCTCCTAATCCATAAGGGAATTTTTGAGTGAAATAATTTCGTGTCTGATTGATGAAAAACCATTTGCAAGTATGGAAAATTCATCCCCTCATAGTCACATTCTTCAGTACTTGGACTAAGTTGCAAGAATAACTTGTCAACAACACCAAAACCAAGTCTTGAAATTGCTTCAGTCTTGAAACTAGGAAGCTGAGGGCTAAAAAAACCAGAATCGTCGCGAATTCCTTGTTTTAGTACCCCTAATGAGACTGTTACAATAACATGATCAGCATACATTACTGTTCCATCACTAAAATGTAACTTCACTGGCTTAGTACCATCACCATTTTCAAATTTTGAGCCACAGTCATCGTTTCGCCATTCAATTTTTGTGACTTTTCGGCCTAATTGAATCAAACCAGGTGGTAAAACAGATGCCAAAGATTTAACCACAGTTGAGTACCCTTTAGCTATAGTTAGTTCATCACCAGGAAAATTACAATACTGACTTTCTCCATTAAAATCTAAAGTACTCAAATCACCAGCTGATGAATAATGCCTATGTATATTCTCAAACATAGCAAAAATTCCTTCTTCAAGTGATTTTCTACTCCATTTATCAAACACTTCAACATTTTCTTGATCTTTCTTTAAATTCCAATAAAATTCAAGACCTTTCCTAAGAAAAGAACCAATACTTAGATTTTTAATACTACCATTTTCAAGATTAAAACTTTCAAGAATTTCTTTACATACCTCATCTTGAAAATTTCCTTCACCTGAAGAAAAAGCTAACATTTTGTTGAAAAATTCTGATATGGATTTAACAAGGGAAGAATTTACCTCATAGCCATTTTCTGTTATAGTCACTTTTTTGTCCATTAATTTACCTTCTTTACATTCCCAAGGCTTATTTGATTCCAATGAGTTAATTTCTTTAGCAATTTTATAAATTGGATTACCTTCAATTCCATGTATCCAAGTAGCTCCAATTTCAATTTGATCACCATTAAATTCTGAAGTGAAAATTCTTCCACCAATTCTATTTCCACCTTCAACAACACAAAGATCAAATAATTCATTTGATTTTTGTGTTGTGTAGAGTTTGTTAGCTGCTGTTAGGCCAGAAATTCCAGCTCCAATTATCACAATTTTTGGCTTTTGTGTCACCATTTTAGAGGGAAAAAGATTGAATAATTTGTGATATTTTTTGTTGATAAATGAGTTGTTTTTTTTTGTATGAAGTAATTGAACAAGAAACAAAGCTATATATAGGAGTGTATTATGGTGTTTATTACATTGGTTTATTCTGTTGTATTCAAGTTTTAAAGGTCTAGATTTTGAATAATGTAACAAATATTATATTGTAACCATAATTAACAAAAAAGAATCGTAAGTTTTTGGAAAAGAAATCTTTAACTTTGGTAAGCATTTTATTGACATTCCTCTAAAATAGATTATAATCATGTTTAAATTTCTAAATTTTAGTAATAACTCCAACTTTTGTTCAACAAACATTATATTGTAACCATAATAATTAACAAAAAGAATCATAAGTTTTAGGATAGGAAGTCTTTAACTTTGGTAAGAAATTGATTGATATTCCTCCAAATAGATTTAAACCATATTTAAATTTTAGTAATAATTTAATTCTTCAACTTTAGTAAGAAAATAATTGACATTCCTCTATTATAATCAACAAAAAGAATCATTAAGTTTTAGGATAGGAATTCTTCAACTTGGGTAAGAAATTGATTGACATTCCTCTAAAATAGATTAAAATCATGTTTAGATTTCTAAATTTTAGTAATAATTTAATTCTCCAACTTTAGTAAGAAAAATAATTAAAATTCCTCCAAACTAAATAATAACCTACTTTAGATTTCAAATTTCAATAATAATTTAAATGTCCAACTTTGGCAAGAGAATGATTGAAATACCTCTAAGATAAATTAAAATCTTGATTAAATTTATAATTTTAGTAATAATTTAATTCTCCAACTTTAGTAAGAAAATGATTGATATTTCTCCAAAATAAGTTAAAACCTTGCTTAAATTTATAGGATTCATTACTCCAGCTTTGGTAATAAAATGGTTGACATTTCTCCAAAATAAATTAAAACCTTGTTTGAAATTCTAAATTTCAGTAATTATTTAAGTGTTCTACTTTGGTAAGAAAATGATTTGACATTCTTCCCAAATATTAAAGGGGTTTTGACGCAGTTACCCACAAAAACAAAACTATTTACCCTTGTCTACTCATAATCTAATTACATTTCCTAACCATAGTAGGTTTTGTGGGGAATTTTCTCTTTATTCTCCAATTCTTTTTTATTTCTATGCTTCTTTTCTTTTCTTTTTTCTTTTTTCTCGTTTTCTTCTTATTTTTTTCTTTTTTCCTATTCTAATTTCATTTAACTTCTTTTTTTTATATTCATTTTCTCTTCATAATCTAATTTCATTTACTATTTTCACTATTTTTTATTATTCTTTTTTTATATTATTAGTAAAGAATAATCAAATTGTGTAACAATTAAATGTAGCTAATACAACCAAAAAAATATTAACTAATATTTGATACCAGTATAGTATATAGTTATACCAACAGGGTATACAATTGTACGCAAAGAATTAAAAAAAGTTTAGTTCAATTATTAAACTGAAATAATATCAGTTGTCAATAAAAATTTCAAAAAATTCTAAAAGGATCTAATTGTAAGAGTATACCGTTACATTATATAACATCCTATAATATTTTTTTATCTTTTTTGCATTTTTAATTTGCCTCTCACGCTGGATAAAAGCTTAAAGCAAATTAAAAGGGAAAAGGCAAGTGAATTTACGGGTAATAAGTATACTATTACAGCATATTGTTACAATATCTTGCATATTATTACAGTATACCATAATAATATATTTGTATTCTATAATGGTATATTGTTGTAGTATAACTATATACTCCTATAGTATATTAGTATACTGTAATAATATGCAAGATATTGTAACAATATGCTGTAATAGTANAAGTCAGCGCATTTCATTCCAGTAGCAGTCTCCGTATTCATCCGAGAGGTTAGCGGAGATTTATATCCGGGAGATTGTTCGCCTTCATGGTGTGCCGGTATCTATCATTTCGGATCGGGGTACGCAGTTTACCTCGCGCTTCTGGAGAGCGGTTCAGCAAGAGTTAGGTACCCAGGTTCAGTTGAGCACAGCGTTCCATCCTCGGACGGACGGTCAGTCCGAGCGGACTATTCAGATTTTAGAGGATATGCTCCGGGCTTGTGTCATTGATTTTGGAGGCTTGTGGGACCAGTTTTTGCCTTTAGCAGAGTTCGCCTACAACAACAGCTACCAGTCCAGCATTCAGATGGCTCCATATGAGGCGTTGTATGGTAGGCGATGTCGGTCTCCAGTCGGATGGTTCGAGCCGGGAGAGGCTCGGTTATTGGGTACAGACTTAGTTCAGGAGGCCTTAGATAAGGCCAAGATTATTCAGGAGAGACTTCATTCAGCTCAGTCTAGGCAGAAGACTTATGCAGACCGTAAGGTCCGAGATGTAGCTTTCATGATCGGAGAGCGAGTATTGCTCCGGGTGTCGCCTATGAAGGGCGTGATGAGATTCGGAAAGAAGGGCAAGCTTAGCCCTAGGTACATTGGTCCGTTTGAGATTCTTGATCGAGTAGGAGAGGTGGCTTATAGGCTTGCATTACCACCTAGCTTATCAGCCGTGCATCCAGTTTTTTATGTGTCTATGCTTCGGAGGTATCACGGCGATCCTACCCATGTATTAGACTTCAGCACGGTCCAGTTGGATAAGGATCTGTCATATGAGGAGGAGCCGGTAGCTATCCTAGACCGGCAGGTCCGACGCTGAGGTCGAAGAGTTTTCCTTCTGTTCGTGTTCAGTGGAGAGGTCAGCCCCCTGAGGCCACGACCTGGGAGTCCGAGTCTGATATGCGGAGCCGTTATCCACATTTGTTCCCCAACTCAGGTACTTCTTTCTTTTGTCCGTTCGAGGACGAACGGTTGTTTTAGAGGTGGAGAATGTGATGACCGTGCATTCTGCGTTTCGAGGCCTTAAAAACCTCCTTTAGCATCACCTCGATTTGCGTGCGCAGTCCGGGCGCATAGCCGGAAAGCCTATATGTGAAAATTTGTGAAAATAATAAATTTTTACTATAAAATGAATTAATTTGACTTCGGTCAATGTTTTGGGTAAACGGATTCGGACCCGTAATTTGACGGTCCCGGAGGGTCCGTAGGAAAATATGGGACTTGGGCGTATGCCCGGAATCAAATTCCGAGGTCCCAAGCCCGAGAAATGAATTTTTGAAAGAAATTATTTTACTGAAAATATTAGAGTTTTTGGAAATTGGATTATATCTGAAACTTACGGTATCGGGCCCTTTTTTTGGTTCCGGAGCCCGGTACATGCTTAATATGATGTTTGAGTTGTGTCTGTAAAATTTGGTAAGAAACGGAGGTCGTTTGATGTGATTCGGATCCGTATTTGTGAAATTTGAAACTTTTAAAGTTTTGAGATTTAATCTTAGCCGTTTATTCCCCTCCAATCTAATGGCCCATGTCAATTCTTACACCCATATTTAGACCCACTTATAACCAAGCCCTAGCCTACCTTTTAACTCCTAATTACTAAAAGGCTAGAACAGCGCCCTCTTCATCGACCATTAATTTCCTCCACAAATAATATCCAAAATTTTTGGAAAGTTTCCGCTGATTCTGAGAATTTCTTCCTACTAGAGGCAAACCCACCAGCTGAAATCACAGAGCAATTAGTTTCTACAGCTGAAAAACACAGAACCTTCAGATCCTCTTCCTCAAATAAGATCTCGTGTGCCACCATATTACTGCGCTTGAGTTTGCAGTGACTTTTTCGGATCCAAATTGAAGTACTTTTTTTTTCTTTTCTTCTTCAGGTCAGTGCTTGTTGTCGCATTAATTAGTATGGGTATAAGCACATGTTCTGAATAAAGTTTTTCATATTTCTTGTATGTTATTTCTGTGTTGCATATGACTATGCCAAGCCATTAATTGTATTCATATTGGAGCATTAGTTTAAAAAGCTTCGTCACTCTTTGTACGCTGTTGTTTAGTAGGTGCAAATAAGAATACATATGGTTTCTAGCATGAAGTTGATTGGAGTGATAGAAGGAAACATCCAAATCCATAACATCTTTATACGGTGCAAGGTGCACATAAGATCATAGAATGGAATATACATTCTCATCTTTTAAATTTTTAGAAAAACGTAATTTTCTTTGACATTGACGATTACAGAACATGCATATTAGAAAAGTATGGACGAGACTGCTTTTCCAGCTTGATGTTCTTGTTAAATATAATTCAATTGTGTATGGGTAAACGGATTTTGGTCCGAACCTCGTGTTATGACCAAGCGGGCCCGGGGTCTATTTTTGGATTATTGGGAAGATGATTAGAAAGCTATAATTAAACATTGGAATTGGATTGTTTAGCGTTTATTGATGTTGTTAAGTCAATTATGTCTAGATACAATTGATTTGGAGCTAAATTCAAAAGGGAAAGCGGTGTTTGAGGCTTGAGTTGATCGTGGAAGTTCGAGGTAAGTGTTTGGTTTAACCCTAGCTTGAGGGAATAGGAGTTGGGTCTTGTTGCTAATTGCTATGTGATCGAGTACGATGTATAGGCATGGTGACGAGTATCTATACATTGGTGTCTAGCATGACCGTGAGTCTTTATAATGTAATTATCGTGACTTGGTTGTGAACTCCGTGTTTATTGGAGGATTCCTAGTTGTTGTGAATAACATGTGAACGGTAATATGATCACTTGATTCCTGGGAGCATTGGCTCGAATTGTGATACGAATATTGAAAGTATACGAAATGACTTGATTCTTTGGAGCGTTGGCTCAAAATAGTAAAGCGAATTAAAAGATAAGGAAAGTAAGAAAGAGAAAGCGTTGTTGATTATTCCCTTATCGGGACATTTGGTTGAACTTGTTGGATTCTTTCCCTTGCCGGGATGGTTGTCAAATATTTGCTTATTTTGTGCCCCTTAATTGTGACTGTTGTTTGGGAAGTCAGACTATTAAATGATATTGAGGATCGGGATGCGCGCCGCAACAATGATGTTTAGGATCGGGTTGCGCGCCGCAACAATAATATATGA